AAAACGCTACGAATTAATTCCAACACCTAATATATTTTTATAGTTAAATAGCCATATCTAGCAATTTACATCGTGAAATGGTTCCGATGGAATGGAATAGCGCGGAAATTATGATTATTTTCAATTATCTGGTTCTAGGCGCTGCGAGTTGCGTGCGGGAGCAAATTTCTGCGATTTTTGTTTCATCGCCACAATCTCAAATAGAATAATCCGCAATGTCGCAAATCGCGGTGTAGCAGGCACACTTAACGCCAGATTGAACTTTATCTCCGCATATCTTGTCCTCGTTGCATAGAATGTCGGCACGCTACTACGATGCACTTTGCGAGACCGAGGCGAAGTCCGTCAAACAGGCCACAATGTGCATACGTATATCGCAGCACGCAACAGCATTATGCGCGCTACATAGCGTATCGAGTACATCGAATATCCATCGCTTGACGACGGCGCCGGCGGCCCCGTCACCTGGGTGGTTTGCACGATGTGTCGTTTGCGTATGTATCGACTGGCATAATCGCGGGTTTACAGCCTACATAAAGCGCTTACAGTACCGAGGAATCTTAAAACGCCTATCTTTTCGATATAAGATGCTTCGAAATTTCCCATAAAATTCAATGATGACCTCTTTAGATTACTCGCGCTCGGCCTGGCGTCGAACAAATGTCTCTCTAGTGAGAGATAATTAAATCTTAACTTTGTAGTTGCCAAAATGTTAGATAGCTCGATGATTAAACTTTGAACTACAGTTCCATTAAAGAGTCGACTCAAACGTTAATTAAACGTTCTGTTAGTTTGAAATTTGATTTGAATCGTCGACTCTTAAACTGTAATTTATTTATTTATTGATTGTATAATCTTCAGGATACAAGATAAAGAAATCATATCGTATGTTAAAAAAAATTAAATAGAAGCAGAAATATTATAATTCTCAGACCGTACATGAAAAACATTTTTCATCTTACAAAATTCTTGATCGAAACTGTATTGTCAAAATACGTCTCTCATTTATTTTCATCTTCGAACTCAATTTTGGAGTTGGTAAATAATCTTGTAATGTTGCGTCTTTTACATTATTCTGGATTTTTACTTACGAGAAATTGAACTTATCACGTCCATCTATCAGTGGTCTCACATTTCGCTCGCGAATAAGCGACTTTAGTGGTGTTAGTAAAAATAAAAACGTCATTCAGATATAGTTTTATTAATTATCATGCTGCATGTAAAATTATCATGAACTCTAAGTCAGATTAAAAATATATTGTATTGTAAAATGTATATACGATGTTTTACATACTTATTTTATTTATTTAACACACATCTGTTCCATTTAAAACAGTAAAGAATCACAAATTATTTAACATATTTTAAAATTTTGCTAGGATTGCTAGTTAATTTGTAAAGGTAATTAGTTACAGTTATGCCTTTTTTTGTTTCAAAAACTAATTTTATCGTTATACAAATTGTTCTAAAAAATAATAATTCTTTTCAATTATCTTTCAATTATTGTTAAATTGTTATAACATTTTGATACTATTAGGAGTAACAAAGAAAAAGATGAATTTACGTTTTTACATAATTTTATTTAAAGGCTGGAAAGTATTAATCTAGAAATACGTAGAAAAATATAAGGCAGTAATAAGATATGAACAGTAAACGAATCGGCCAATTACAGTAGAAAATGTAAGACAATACCTTTACGTTTTTTCAGGATAAATTTATCATTATTTTTAAGATAAATTTTCTTCGTGTAGTTTTAATTAATTAGATAAAAAATTTGTTGCAGTAACGCATCCAGATCTGCAGTCAGAGAAAGAATAAATTGTACGATAGATGGCTATGCGAATAATGAAAAGGCAAACGATAAGGACGAAAAAAAGAGGATCGAGTAAATGAAGCAGATGAAAATGTTATTTCGTAATTTTCTCCAATGTGATTTGTAAGCATTTATTTTTTCAATATATTATTTAGCAGTTGAAGCAAGATAAGCGACAGAAAGTATATTTGACAATGTAAGGAAAAAGTCAGATAAAGACAGAGACAGATAACTTTCATAAAATATTTAACAGTTTGCGAAGAGCAAAACGCTCAAGTTTATGAAAATGTTTTTCTTGAAGAGAAAATACAAAGAATATAAAATGCAAACACTTAAAGACACTTACAATAAAAAAGTACGTGTTACAACATTAAACAGATACACAGGCATAACGTCTCTTTATCATCATGTTTTCAACGTGACATTTGATATGACTACCATTTAAGGCGAAGGCGATAGAACGACGATCTCATACGCAAGCATTAATAGTCTAATCCATTGTAAAAGCTCATCACAGATGAAATAACATGCATGAGCAATTGTATATATATATGTACACATATATACATATACACGTACGTATGTGAAAATATTCTATATGTTTCCGTTGAAACATTGATTTATCGGCGAGCAACTTCTGTGTATCCATCTTTTGCGACGGTTATCACCATTCAAACGAGAAAGAGAGAGCAAATTAAATGCGATAGATTGACTCAGAATTGGAATAGTGATAGTAAAATGTAAAAGAAAGACCAAATGCTCGCGTAACGTAAACTAACTTCTCGGTTAGTTTCATTCTTGTGCTTTATCTTCTCGACCGACGTGGATTCGCTTGAACCGCCAAATCTCTCGGTAATGCATCGTCGAGTACGAACGGGATGGCAGAAACGATGGCATACAATCGTACAATTTACGACAAAACAACGGCAGGAAAACTAAATTTCACGTCGGTGACATTCCTTCCTTCTAACGTGATCGCTGCCGCGTTTAATGCCGAGACGACTAATCCGTCCGCAGCTATGATGGGCGATCCTGCGATCGTCACTACCATCAAACCACACCATCGCGTCTACAACGCGACGGAGTATCTCATCGAACAAGACGAACTCGAGCACAGTAAGTAGCACAGTGTATTGAAGAAAGGTATAAAGTTCTCGATAAGGACAGCGAGATGGGTGGGTCGTTTCTTCGTCCAAATCCGAATTTTAATTAATTATGCGTTTAAAAGGTAAAATATTGAACGTATCTGAAACTGCGTTTCAAAATTGGTCGTTTTTTAAAGTCACTTGAGAAATGTCTTTTAGTGGAGTTGGGGAAGTTCGGGATATTTGTTTTCAAATAAATTTTCAATCAATCTTATCACGATGAAAATTCAATGAAAAGTAGCTGGAAATACGTTTAATCGCGAAGAAACGCGATAAAAACTAATAACGAGCATATATTTACCCATCTTAATTTTTGTATGCATCTTTTTTATACACTTGAATGCTAAAATTTTTAGTTCTCTATTAAACATTATTATTAAGTCTAACATTTAGAAGAGTAGAAAAGAAAATGGAAAATCACTCTTCTTCATTTAATTAAGAAACAGTAGATAAATACTTTTAAGTAATAGTGCGTAAGCTTTGACAGAATAATCATATAAAGGGATCAACTAGTAAAGATTCAAGTTATTATCATACTTTCGCTTCAAGAATTTTATGATTATTATATTTCAGGTATCCTTGCCAACTTTTCAGACATACAAACCGTTTTGCTTGCATGCATATCGACATTATTACCGCTGATCATCGCCTTGGGGATCGCCTTCGGCGTCAGGTATGCAAATTTTGCTTATTGCGAAAGGAAATATGCCATCCGCAGTGCTGGCCGGTTGTATTTTTTTTTACAGCAATAAATTTTTCTAATATCAGGCACGTGTGGCGAAAATATCGGAATGACGAAGACAGCGAAAATGGTTTACCTTGGTATAAGAACGTTTGCAATCGCGACAATGCAGTTGAATCGCATCAACATCATCCGCATTCCGGAAATGTTCCTGTAGAAGCTGCCACGAGAGTCCTCTCCGCACAAGACGTAAGTTAATGCCTTTTTAACAACCTTGCAAATGCACACAAAAGATCGTATAAACGTGAGAAAGACCTTGTACGAATAGAATATTACTACCAACGAAATTATTGAGTCGGTCCTCCAGTCTTACAACTTGAAGGTCACACGCGATGCACTGAGAGAAAATTATTTGGTATAATTATATGGTAAAATAATTATGTCAGGAGTTCTATTTTGAGTTATTATGCTGTTTTATAATAACTATAGTATAATAATAATAATAATAATAATAATAATAATAATAATAATGACATTAATTTTCCAAAATATATCTATTTGGGACCAAAAATGACTATATAGTTAAACAATATGAAACGACTGTTAAATTGATATGAATAAATCAAATTTTAAATAAGAAGAACTCTATATTAGATCGGAGCGGATCTTAGTACTTGAATATTTCTTGTGTAAATTTAATAAATTTATATACATTCTGATTTGCGCATCAAAATATTTTTTCAGACTTAAAACACACTCATGAGCAGAATTACAATAGCAATATCGTTTATTAAATTATCCAGGCAAATTAATAATTTTTTTATGTTAATAAGCATAAAACTTTTTTAACAGGAATATTAAGTATCACATGTTGATGAAATCTAAAAACTGTAATAATTTATTGCAAAAAATAGTATCTCGGTAAAAATATTATAATTAAATTATGGTAATTGAAATCATTTTTTTCCTCTCATTATTTACATTCCTCTACACTGTCACTGTAGAATTTAATAGGATGTCAAATATAAAGTCTCCTTCAACCATGAAATTACGAAGTAATTGTATTAAAAACGTGAACTACGTGATAATAAAGAAAACTTTACTTATTATTAGAACAATGATAAAACCGTGCGCAAGATTTCTTTGCTAATTGGGATAAGATTTTTTGTAAATCGCAAAAAGAAAAGCGCGGGTAACTTAAGAGGAAAAATTCTAGCTCGACGTGAATACGTTATGAACTTTAATGGAATCGATACTAGCCCGTTTGATCCTCGTATGCATGCTCGATTAGCTTACATAACACGATAACCACGCAAATACCGTCGGCCTTGGTTTAAATCTTGATGCTGTGCCGTAATAGGATATACGGCAAACATTTACGGAACTTGTGCCCCAGATTGCACAACGGGAACGTAAGGATGTTCTACACGGTTATATACTGTACGTACAATTGTCACGGTTGTTGCACGAGTCAAATCGTACAGTTCTCTCTCTACCGGGATCCGATCGCACGTGCAGAGCAGACATTATAGCAACCGAGGAGCCAAAATCTATGGCTGTGAACGTACCGTTATAATGCTTTGCATTTAATAGCGATGCATCGCCGCACTGTTGCGCCCATTCGTCTCGCTTGACCCTTTCGTTGGCGGATTTCTTCCGGTTAAAAACTCCTCGTAAAAATATCATAACGTGTACATGCTCGTTTTGTATTGAATTCTTGCATAATCTGTCCAATGCTCGATAACTTCAGTCAACCGAGATTTCGCTATATTTTATACGCCGCCTGTTAATTGAGTTAGAACTCTAAAAAAAGAAATGTTGGAACAAAAAGATATTACGTGAATGACTTTATTGAAATTTTTATTAATTTAAATTTTCTGAAATTTAAGATCAAAGTATCATATTTTGCATATCATTATCGAATAAGCAAAGATCCTGAATCTAAAATAATCCTTAACATTAAAATAACTGATTCTCCTTCGTGCTAATGTTTATTCATTATTTGAATTATATTTCTTGATTATTTGAAAATTTTAATGGTAAAAGAATTAAATTTATTAATTTCTTTATCTGCTTTCTTATTCTATTATCAAGTTATTTGTTATTTTCCTCTTCAGAATGTCTCTTTGGAAATTTTAATTTTAATATAGTTAGTATAGTTAAAAATACCCTCTTGTTTATTAAAAACTTTAAACTTGATTTATAATCACCTGTTACATTATTTTAAACCTTAACACAGAATTCTCATTATAGACAATTATTTTAGATTTTGTTGAATTGAAACAAGCCAAGTATTTTCATGGAGCTTATCAATCTACATACCGGATGTAATTAAATCTTGAATAAACCTACTGTGACCCTACAAGATAAAAATCCACAATCAAGAAGGAGAAAAATTGATTTAAATTGAAAATATTAACAATAACTGGAGGATTTACGAAGTTTGATCAAGTTGTTTCATAAATATTCGAGATTCTCTCATTTTTTTCAATCGTATAATTCTAATTCTATTTTCTGTCGTATTTGCAATTGTCCTTCGTATAAGTCAATCAAATTGTAACGGATTGTTCATGTGTTCTGCACGTGGCTAATAAATTCGCATTTGCCGAGCCTTACTTATTGTTAGAGGAATCCATTAACTTTACCTTACCAATTGACAACGCATGTGGTGTATATTCGAGCTACATATTATAACGCTACGAGCAAGCGTATAGCAACTTTTGTGTAGGAGTGCACAAGTTACAAACGCATAACGCATTGTATATACATATATATATGTATGTGTGTATATATGTATCACACACACGTTATTGTTTACGTATGTGCATATGACTCAGCCAAAAATACCGTACGTCTGCTTGGCTTGGAGAACTGTGGGATTGACCTGATTTTAATTTCGCGCATATGCCATCGCATCGTGATAACGGTGTTTAGCTGAATTTTTCGACGTTTCTGTCGACGCATGTTTACAGTAAATTGTTTTTGTTCTATTCTCTCGTTTCGTCAAATCTATTCGGTGCACTGGTAACGTGCAGATGCAAACGTTGCGCGAAAATCAAGAAAAATGCACTCCATTATCTCGATATATTAGGGTTATTATTGAATCCAATGATTACACTATTCAGAGTATCATTTTGCAATGAGTAAATAATCATTTTCGACGTATTTCTGCGTGTTGCATACGAATTCGTTGGTAAAAGTTGGCTAACGCATCACAATTTTGAAAAAAATGGTGTCAGAGACAAAAAATGATTTTAAGATAGTTTTTAAAACGTTGTAGCATCGCGGCAATTAGTTTTTTTTTTGCTTAATTTCATTAATACCAGATCAAACTATTAACATTTAGGTTTAAAATGCATTTTAGTTAATCTCGATATGATTTTTTATTTTCCAGATATAACAGTTCGAAAATATATATAGTTCTTTTCTCACGTAATAGTATCCGATTAAAATAAATAACAATAGTTTAAAGAAAATTAATATTTTTTAACATTTTAAAACGTTTATTATATCATTCTTTAATAAAACATTGATTACGATTTACGATTATTTGTAATATAGTTTTATATTCGATATCACAATTTCCCTTCACATTGACACAAATAACTCTATATTACAGGATAATTATGACAAAGGACATAGGTTAACAATTTTTTTTCATATTTAATTAAAATTTATTATATTATCTAATTAATTGCATATATAATTTAAAATATAAATTTCATAACATTAAAAAAAAAATCTTCAAATTAATTAAATACACAGTCACAAAATGTTTAAGCTCAACTTCATATTTTTTTGTCATAATAACCCATAGTGACCCTTAGTACGCTATTAACTTGAACGAGAATGCCATATGAGACATGTACGCCATATGAGAGTACTGCATATAAATAATTTTTTATATAAATATCCAGGACGTTACAACCAGCTCAACTCATATGCTCGTCTTTTTTACATTTACATTATAAAAAAATCTCTTATTCATTATAAACGTGATTATAAAACAATATTGAGTTTTTGAAAAAAAAAAAGAAAAAGAATCGAAATAAAAAAAAAGACGATAGTATATCAGTTTATATCAGTGTTACTTTTTTCCAAATAATTAAGTTTCACGATATCGTTAAATGTTAATATTTTTAATTAAAAGTGTTTATCACGTTCGCTATAAACATTAACTTAACTTTTCTTGTTAACTATCATAAATTCTATTAATATAAATAAATACTGCATTAACATTAATTGAAAGTGTAGTCATTTGTTTATTAAATAAAAACTAATAAATAATTATAAAATAAACGAAAAAATATTAGCAGAACCAAGCCAAAAATTAAAACGTTTCAAATCGAGCAAGAGAAATTTTTTGTTGCGAAAGGCGATGTTGCATAATATATGTCGAATAATGGCGAAGAAAGTATCGCCACTAATGAAATATATTATACGTCTTTCTTTACCAATGTTTGACTGCCCCCTCCGACTGTAGTCTGCGGAGCAAAAGGGCATATAATGCATAAACACAGACGTCGGTGAAAGTTGCATACGATGTTTGACTTCTGCAATTAAACCGGGCCAGCTTTCCATGCGTCGCGATTCGTTTCTTTTCGAGCGATTCGGTTTCATTAGTACCGCGGGTAATCCGCCTCTCTAATTTTGCCGTTCGTTGTCGCCGTCGCGTACTTTCTAATAAAATTGCGGTCAATCATTTCCAGTTTTCTGATGCAACGCGACTGCACGCAGCGGTGGACGAAATATCATGTAGAATTATTTCACTTTCGCGACAGTTTGGCGATATTTCGAACACTCGCAACAATTAAACATACATAAGATTTGAATTCAATTACAGAAATGCTTTAGAAGCATTATTAATAGATTAAATTACGTCTTTCTCATTAATAAATCAAAATGATCTTCGATTGACTACAAATAACGTATCGTATTATCTTGAACGAACATCTTTGATGCTAGAATCTAAATAAATATTATACCTACGAAAGTGAATTCGAATAAAAACGCAAATTTGTTTGCGATTAACAGTTTCTTTTTTCTTAGAAGAGAACATTTATCACAGGAACTAAGATCGAAGCAGAGCAAAGCCAGTATTTGAGCAGCGTCAATTTTCATTGATCAAATGTGACCCTACAGAATTAAACGTACTTGAGAACGAGCAGAAGCGAAGCTGCGCAGCAAATGAACGATTCAAAATAATTCAGGACAAACAGTCCTCCGGCAAAAGTAGAAAAGTAAATTTC